CCCCTTTTTGACGTATCTTCATAAAGTTGATATTATTCATCAAATTTCATGTGTCCATACACCCCAACAAAATGGTGTGGTTGAATGTAAAAATCGTAATCTATTGGAAGTGACTCGCACACTATTATTTCAAATGCATGTTCCTTGATATTTGTGGAGTGATGCTATTATTACTGCTTGTTATCTCATTAATTGTATGTCCTCTTCTGTTTTAAATGGGAAAAATCCACACTCTGTTCTTTTTTCCCGTTCTTCCTTATTTTCCTTACCTTCTAAGGTCTTTGGGCGTGTTTGTTATGTTTACAACTTGGGTCCCGAATTTGATACACTAGCTCCTTGTGCTATAAAATGTGCCTTTCTTGGTTATTCTTGCACACAGAAGGAGTATCGTTGCTATAGCAACACTTCACAGATATTTCACTAGTGCTGATGTTACTTTCATTGAATCGGTCCTATATTTCCCAGCTCTTACTCTCCCTCTAGACCTTGACTTTGAGCATTCACCTCCATCCCCCCACTTCCATTAACCTATATCATTCCACTACTTATTGTGTTACCATCAAATTTATCGCCCCCAACCTCCTCTGTTTTGTTCTGTGTATACTCTCTTCGTCAAAGATCATCGACCAAGGTGCCCCTACCGTTTTTTGATCTCAGTCCCTCTGTTACTTTTGACACATTACTCATTGCTCTTTGTAAAGGTACTCGATCTTATGTTATTAAACATCTTATTATTCATTTTGTTTCTTTTGATGCCTTTGTCTCCTGATTTCTCTTGTTTTATATTTCAGTTTTTTGTTGTTTTTATTCCTAAAATATTACAGGGTACATTATTTGATTTAGGTTGGAGAAAAGTTATGGAAGTAGAGATGGATGCCTTGCATCATAGTAGGACTTGGAATTTTGAACTTTGTTCCCTTGCCCCTAGTAAAAAGACTGTTGGTTGTCAGTGGACGTATATAGTCAAATTTAATCCTGAAGTTTCTGTCGAACGCCTCAAAACCCGACTTCTTGCCAAAGGCTTATTCAAACTTATGACATTCATTATGAGTATACTTTTTTTCCAGTTGCCAAAATTTGGTTCGTGTACTGATTTTTTTGGCTGCTAATCTTGATTGGTCTTTGTTTTGGTTAGATGTTAAAAATGCTTTTTTACATGGTAACTTGGTTGCACAAGTCTACATAGAGTAGCCAATTGGATTTATTGTGCAGGGGGAGTATCCCAAGTGTTTGTTGACTAAAAAAATCTTTGTATGTTTAAAACAGTCACCGAAAGTGTGGTTTGGTAAGTTTTTAGAGGCAGTTTTAGAATTTAGTCTTCCTAGATGTTAGATAGACCAGTTTGTTTTTCATAGACAAACTGATGTAGGATACATTATATTGGTTGTTTATGTGGATGATATTGTAATTATTGATAATAATTCTAAGGGTATTGCAAAGTTGAAAATTTGTTTGTAGGATCAATTTCATACTAAAGGCCTAGGGAAATTCAGGTACTTCGTGGGTATTAAAATTACCAAATCTAAATAGGGCATTTGTTTGTCTAAGAGAAAATATGTACTCGACATGCTAGAGAAAGCATGTTTGTTGGGTGGAAGACAATTGATGTTCCTATGGATCCGAACTAAACGTTGCTGATAGATGGTGGTGCAGTATTTGAAAATCCAAGTCCATATCTAAATTATGTCACTATTACCTGATCAAATATTACATATGCATTTAACATCTTTAGTCAGGTTATGGGATGCCCTAGAGAATCACATTGGGATGTAGTTGTTTGCATTCTTCGATACCTTAAATGTGCTCCTGGACTTGGGTTGGTGTATTAAACTAATGGACATCTTAGAGTGGAAGGCTTTACAGATGTTGATTAGGCTAGTTGTCCCTCAGATCGAAGATCAATTACTGGATATTATATTTTCTTGAGAGATAATGTGGTCACATGTAAAAGTAAGAAACAAATAATGATAGCATGGTCTAGTATTGAAGCCGAGTATAGAGCGATAGCACATACCACTAGTGAGTTGACATGGTTACTACACTTTCATTGGGAAATTGGTTTTTCAGTCCAACTTCCTTTACAGTTGTTATGTGATAATCAGACAGCTTTTCATATTGTTGCCAATCCCGTATTTCATGGGAGGACAAAAAATATTGAAGTTGATTATCAATTTATTATTTGAGACAAGATGCTAAATGGAAATATGACAACACCATTTATGAAATCTGAGGATCAGCTTGCAGATATGTTCACAAAAACATTTAGTTGATCTCGTCTTACAACCATTTGTTCCAAGTTGGGATTATATATATAAATATAAATATATATTTTAGGTTGAGAGGGAGTGTTGAGAGTGATAATATTATATTATTTTTATAATTGTAATAAATATGCCTCTCTAAGGGTATACTAGTCTTTTGTGTTTTCTTAGATAACTATAAATATAAATTGAGAGTGAGAGATAGGGTAAGATTCGAACTTCTTGGCCGCCTCTCTTTGTGTTCTTCTAATTCCCTATTTACCAAACTTAACACTGTGTAATAGAGCAATGTAATAATAAATGATCCACACCTCCACAGTCACCTTGGTAGATCATGTTTTGCAACGGAGATCTTTTGAGGTCGTCTCCTATGAAGCATGCCATTGGCATTGATCTCACTTGACAAATGGTCTATGACATACTTGAATGTTATTACATGTTACTAGTCTCTTTAGCGTTCCATATCATCGAAGATGGAGGGACTATTGAGCAAGAAAGATCACGAAGCAAAGATTTAAAGAAAGACTTACAAGAGAATATGCCAAAAGAATCAAGAACCCAAGTCTATAGTATCTCTATCATCTAAATTTCTACAAAACCCAAAATTTGAAGTGTGTGAATTCGAGCTAGACCAAACCATAGTAGAGATAGAAACACTACAAACACAAGATAACTGATAAAGACTAGGAAACAACCATGATAATGATAGCTCCCCCGACCAAATATCCTCCCGAACCGAATTTTCCCATTACCTACAAGAATTTTGACATTTGGAGAGAACCAAAATGACCCTTGAGAAAGGAATTTATATGGGCTTCAGAAACATCCCTTTTCAATCAAATTAGCATCCCATCCATTGTCCGTAAATCCATATTTGCAATTGTTAACATGCCACAATGAATTTTGTTCAAAAAAATAAAAAAGATCTCTATAGCTATTTCCAACATGTTAGCAAGTTTCCCATTGACAGATTACCTTTTACCTAAGGTTTAAAAAATACCTCCTTACTAATCAAATGATCTTTTTCTCCTTCACTTCCTTGCCATGTGAAATCTCATCATTTGTTACATCTCACTGCTACCTTGCCTTTAGAGACAGGTAAAAAATTATTGTGGATGCAGCCAAGATAGATAGACTGAACTTACTTCCCAAAGGAAGTCTTAAATACTTGAGAGACCATCATCCTCCACATAACAACCTCAACTATTAGCCAACCTAGTGATTTTTTTTGTATGAGAATTGATACCAACAATTGAACTCTATGCATATTAACCTTCAACCCTAAAACCATAGCCAACACTTCCACAACATTTTTCAAGTTTAGAAATTTATCCTCATCTTCTGAAGAAAAGAACATGGTATAATCAGCAAATTGCAAGTGTGAAATAGAAATCATTTTCCTCCTAATTGCAAACTCTTCTACTAGATTACATCTTTGAGCTCTCATTACTAACCTGCTGAACCTATCAGCTGGGTGAAAAGAAAATCTATAAGTAACCACCCAGTCTAATCCCCTTTAATAGGTTCTCTCCTTAGGTGTCCCATTAAGCAGGACCTAAGAAGCACAGACACGCGTACACAATTTTCTTAAAAAGTAGGACACGGACACGTTGAATAAAATATAATTTTATATATTTTTGTATGACCAGAAGTTTACACATTTGGCCCATTTCACATTTTAGATTCCACAAGTTAAAAGTTTGAACCAAATATATACAACTAAAATATGTGAAATACAAGCCCAACAGCCCAAATTTGACCTCAATTCAATACAATGTAAATTGGGCCCATTAATTTAAAATTCCAAAAAAGTCTGAAGCCTCTTAGGGAGGCCCGCCCACTTTAGATAAGTTGGAGATCTCACACAGTCACACGGCAAAAGCCGATCTCACGCTGAAAGCCCCCTCTTTCTCTCTCTTTCTCTCTCCCCGTTCTCTACGACTTCTCGCCTCTCTCTTCTCATCTCTCCTCCTTCCAAAAATTTGTGATTTAGTTGCTGCACTTCCTCTTTTCCTGCCAGAAAAGTAATATTTTGGGCAGCTCTTAAACAGATGGGTAATAGCCTCTGTTTATCATCTTCGTCTTCCTTGCGATGCAGTTCTTTCCTGCTGCGGGTTTATTCTGCCGACAACGAACCCACGGGTCATGCCCATTGTTCAACATCTTCGTCTCCTTCATGCGATGGAGTTCTTTATTCGGCATCATCTACCAACGACAAATAATTGTGAGTATTTTCAATGGATTTCAAATCGCATAATTTTGTTTCAAAACGTGTCTCGACGTGTCCGAAATTAAAAAAAAATAAAAAAATTGGACACTCTTTTATGTGTATTCGACACGTGTCCGGGACGTGTTTGAACATGTCCGTGTCTCAGACGTGTCGGACACGGATACGCCAGCCATTTTAACGTGTTGGTGCTTCATAGAGCAGGACTGAGGAATTCAGTGATTGCAAACAACCAGTAACCCATGTGTTTTGCATTAAATTTGTGTGTTTTTTTGTGTACTTTTTCCAGCAAGATCACTCTATTAATTAATTAGGGGTCAGTTGTATCTTGTCCCAGTGGGTGATGTATCAATGTTAAGTTGCCTACTTATTTGGCCATTGTAAGATGCAATTTACTGATTCAATTTTCTTGAATACTTAAAACGATCCTAGACATATTTGAAACTCTCTAGTGTAACATTTTACCCACAGAATAATCTTGTTGAATTTGCACTGTGGTTGAATTTTGACAGCTTTCAGGCAAGAAGATCTGGATCTGGATGGGGGATAGGTTTTGCATTAGACACGGGGGGAGTTTCTGGTAATGATGATCAAGATAGTCTCAACAGTGACACCCCTGGTCTGGGCCAAACTCGATTGGGCAGACTAGTAAGTGCAGGTGGCAGACAGCTATTAGAGAAGCTGAATTCCGCCAGAAAGAACTTCCCCATGAAGATATTTCTTCTGCTTCTGGGTTTCTACACTGCTAATACATTGGCTACAATTCTTGGGCAGACTGGTGATTGGGACGTAGTGGTTGCTGGGATCATGGTTGCTGCCATTGAGGGGATTGGTATGCTGATGTATAAAAGGCTGCCTTCTCTAACTACGGGGGGGTTGCAGTCTTTGGTGGTGATGATAAACTATTGGAAAGCTGGAGTTTGCTTAGGCCTCTTTGTGGATGCTTTCAAATTAGGTAGTTGATTCTCCCTTCTTTGCTCACTCAATCTCAGGATATTCGGGAGGTTTTATCAGATTATAGGGTTCTGTCCCCTTCTTTTCCATTGTAACACTATTCGTTTCACCTTTGTAAAGGAAATGTAGATGCAGTCAGTATTTCCTGCTGCGTTGTAGTTGGACTAATGTTTATAAGATTTTCTCGTAAGGATGTATTGCTCTTGGAATACTCAATATTAAGGATGGTGGACTGATTTCAGTGTTGTAAAGATATCTCTAGACGAGCTGAAATGCAAATGCTCACCGGTTTTTGCCCCAATCACTTCTGGATAACCTTGCAACCTGCACTGAATTTCATATGGAAAAAAAATGCGACATAAGGAAAAGGTTCAGAAGGACCTCTAGTTTGTATGGCGATTCTTTCTGCACTTTTGCTTTCTTGTCTGGAGAAGACTGTCCATATGCAGTAGTGCAAAATGTCAAATTTTTTGTAGCTGCTGGCTATTATATACTTAGTTGCCAGCATATTTAAGTACGAATAACATTGCTAGACAGGAAATAAAATATCTCTTACTGTAAGGTCCCAGTTCCCAGCAAATTGGTGACAATGAATCATGCTGGCGCAATTGGTAAGGAAGAACACCAGGAGGTAGGCCATGACCATTTTTTGGATCAGTGAGAAATACTGAAACATGGGTCCTGTGGTTGGATACCCAGGTAGGATGGCACAGATAAAAAACGAAGGCAATGAAGAAAAGATGAATCTGAGAGTAATAGCTAAGGTTAAGATTCCTTCCAATGCACATTTTTACCCTTTTGTTTCTTGACAAATCACATATCATGTATTGATAAGGAACTCATTTATATAAATTGGGTCCTACTTGAATTTATGATAGATAATTTATCAAGAAGAAGAAGAAGGCGAAGGAAGACTGGAATGCCAACAGGCGTCTATTATTGAATTCACACGACCTGATAGTACCTATTTTGGAAAATGTTCAGTGCCAAAGTTACTGAATGGGTAAGTCGCTAATACCTAAAATGAACTATTGTGTTATGGGTGAGTGAGTCTTTCACCAGAGGTTTCTAATCTACCCTTGTGTGATTCTTGTTGAAGCATATATTAGGGGAGTGAGTGCGGGGCGTACGATTTTAAAGCAGACTCCCCATTCATTAGATTAGAGAAGATCACCAATATTTTGTGATCCGTTGTCGAACTTATTCCAATTTAAAGAGCTCGGAATCAGTATATAAATATTGATTTGATCCGAGCTCTCTTATTGAATTGCTCATTCAATGAGCATTCTCAATACTATGCCTTGAAAAGGACTCGAACCTCCACCCTCTTTAGCATGAGATTTTGAATCTCGTGTGTCTACCATTTTACCACCAAGGCATCTTGAAAGGGTATTGTATTCCATGAATATGATATCTATCTAGTGTGATGTATGGAATATATGAAAAATGTAGAGTTTTGAAGTATTTCTATTCACCGGTCATGTCATATAGGCACCAGTTGGACATTCAATTGCTTTGATTTGAATTATCTGGAGAATGCCTTGTATAGATATTAAATCTATCAAAAAATGAACAACCAAATCTATTTCTCAATTCAGTAGAAGCCCAAAGAGGGTCCCAACTAAGGAGAGATATAAAAAGTAGGCCCGATTATGCTTATTCCTAATCCTAAATGGAATGTTGTGACGCCCCAAAATTCGAGAGTCCTTTCTCAATCCATGGAATACCCGTGAATACCTATAACCCGGTACCACGTTACATCCCATTTATCGGGATCATAACAAAACAGAATTTGGGAAGAGTCTCCTTAGCATGGGAGCACTACCCAACACATATTCTGTTTACATATTAATCATATGACCATTCTAAGGTCCAAATCCCAAATCTAGGACTTAAGAGTTTGTCCATTTGCATCATCCAAAGGAAAGATCTCAAGAGGTGAATGCTCTATAATGTTACATTTCAATTTTTCAATTTTTGGGAAGAGGTACCGATACCTGTGATAAGTAGTACCGGTACCTGAGCCCTCTAGTTGCCAAGTACCGGTACCTGCAAGACTTGGCACTGGTACGTGGGCTCTCGAAAGCGTGGTATCGGTACCTGTGAACTTAGGTACCGGTACTTGAGCACACTGTCATCGGGGTACCGGTACCTATGAGCTAAGGTACTGGTACCTGAGCTCTCTGGATGCCAGATACCTGTAAAGTACTGATACCTAGAGCCTAGATTTTCTTCAAAATCACCAAAATCTAACTTTTACCCAATAAAATCATTCAACACTTATTACATTCATTTATTTTACAAAAAAATAATGTCCAATTACATGCCTTTATCAAAATACAAGCTTTGTACATAATTTTCACAAGGCCAAAACATAATATACAAGAAATTACAACATGTAATTCAAGAGTTACAACTCGACTTTGTCATCAACTCAGGCCCAAGTGAGGACCGTTCGTTGAAGCTTGTCCAACACCTGACATGTATTCTCATAAAGGGTAAAGGGTGAACCACGCTCAATAGGATATCTCATAAGGAGTAGTAGATTCTTCCTTCTTCTATTTGAGATTTAATAGATAGGTAGTAGGCTTCCTATGCGTTCTTCCTATGATAAAATGAGAAAGAAAAGATTTGATAAGTTCCACAAAAGACCCTATAAACCCTAGGGAGAGTGTATTGAACCAAAGGTGAGCCATTCCCTGAGGGTGGTAGGGAATGCTATACACAGGATGTAAAAACCCTAAAAAATTTAAATTTTTATTAAAAAGAGTAAAAGGGTAATTAGTCGATATGGTACGTATTGAAAACTTAATTTTTTCTAGAACTCAGATGATGAAATGGACTTCACTGTTGAATTCGTCTCGTAAAATCTAGTTACACAGTCAATGTTCGATGAATTCCGAGATAGTTGAATTTTTTGTGTTTTACGATGTGATCGGGTGTCAGGCGATCAAAATAAATGCGATCAAATTTTATTCACGGAACCCAAGAAATAATTTTAAGTTAGTTCAAAAAAAATAGTTGAACATAACATGAGACGAGATTTAATTGATTCGGGATAAAATTAGACCAAACAAATGAGGTGCATGTGGCGCGTTGTGGGCCAAGTAAATGAGGAGTGTAAAAGGGAAAGAAAATCTGATTTTCTTCCCCATTCTTTAGCCACACACACACACACACACACACACACACACACACACACACATATATATATATATATATAGAGAGAGAGAGAGAGAGAAAAGGGTTCTCCAAGCTTTCTCCTTGCGATCTACTGCTATCTGTTCTTCGGATTACCTTAGGCCAAGAAAAAAAAATGTTCTACGCAATGAGAGTTACAAGTACATACCAAAGATCGCGGGTTTGGCCAACATCTCAAGAACGACATTGTTGAAAACAAAGCCTTGAAGCTTGATTTGGGTATTTTGAAGCGCTTATATTACGTGGTATTACGCTTCAAGAGGTAAGGTTCTTTTCCTAACTAGGTTTATTTTCAACCTAGGGCGGTATATGAAATGGGTAGCATGATTGGGGAAGAAATCTCTTACTTAATATACTCCTAGTGTAACTAGAGTATGAAAAATGGGTGTAGAAACATGTTACACCATTTTTTCATGAAATGAGTTAGAGATTACTTGTTTGGTAATTTCATGAGAAACGTGATGAATTGGACATGTTATGTGTTTACATGATTTTGTGCCTTATGGGCATTTGATAACATGCCTTGAATGATATAAGTATGTTATTTGAAAAAAATTAATATAACATGCTTTGTGAAGATTTTGAAAGGTAATTGTATGCTTTATGATATAAGTTACATGGAGAAATTAGAAAAGACTGTGAAAATGGGTATGCTCATAATATGCTCATGATATAATGAACATGACATTGTAAATTGAAATTGTACATTACATTTGCATTTGCACAGATAACATTGCATTTGTAGGCATTTTTCATTAGTGTGGGTGTGTGTTCAAGTTTTAAAAATTAATCACCACATAGGTGGGTTGATCGTGGGCTTGAGATAGTCACACTAAGGTCCGGCTTAGCCGAACGGGAAGTTGAATGAATAAACGTGTCGGAGTGTAGCAAGAAGGGCTAGATTCTCCCTCGAGTGCAAGATCCGGCTACTTGGTTTTGCACTTCCCTGCGGTGAAATTCCAGAAAAGTGTAATGGTGAAGACTGGCCCGTAGGTGAATGTCCTGAAAATTCATTGATGGTGTGGTGTCCCAGTGGTGACATACCATAAATCATCCCCCCACAAAGACACAAGATTTTTATAAAATGGTCATTGAGTGTACATAACATTAGTGGCGGGAGCTTAGAATGCCCAAATGCATGCGCATGACATTGCGTATGTTATGGGAGCTGATGAAGGGCTCGGGTAGCATTGCATATGTGAGTTTCACCTTATAACATGGCATGCCATTGTGGCATTCATTATTGAATTGTATATTTTTGAATTTGATTGATTGTTGAATTGCATGTAAGTATTTCATATGCATTTGAGTTGGGGAGTAGCCTCTTTAGAAGATACTCTATGGAGTGTGGATCACCCTTCATAGGAATAACATGTCAGGTGCGGGATAAGCGCCAGTGGATGACCCTCACTTGGGCCCTTGTTGACGAAGAAACTGAGATGTGACTTTAAATTACATTTTGTAAATAAATTGTGTAATTCATTTTGAACTTGTAAATTTGTGTAAAGAGTTTTGAATGGACTCTTACAGACTATAATTTGTGTTAATGAATGTATGGAAGTGTTTGGAAAGAGATTGGAGGGTGAAAGGTTGAAGATTTGAAAGGATTGGGGAAAATCGGGCCTAGGTACCGATACCTACGTGATTAAGCACCGGTACTATGCTGTTGGATGGGCCAGGTACTTGTATCTCGACATACGAGTACCAGTAACTGGATTTCAGTGGGCTTAAGTACCGGTACCAAGACTTCAGGTACCGGTACCTCTATGGTCAGTGGGCTTAGGTACCGGTACTACGACATGTAGATA